TATGAAAAAAGATTGTTTGATATGTTCCATTACCAACTCCTTGTCATAATATATGGGTCCTGTTTAATCCTCCTGACCCGCTGTGAGTTTAATGAAGGCTAGAAAAATAGGGAGCAGTTAACATTAGAATTATATTTCCGCTACCTTTTTGCTTACACAATCATTTTTTTTCTCTAGATAACAAGAAATTTATTTCCACCTGGCACGAACATGAAAAGTTTTCATAATTGGCAGTTTTCAAGCCATGGAATAGTTTACTAATTGTCCATTTTCATAGAATAATGACATTTTAATCTTGTTCCATTTGTCACACTAGATCATAATTACTGTATAAGCCATAGTGAAAATATAACAAACTCTGGGAAAATAAAGAGTGATTTTTTAATTATGAAGCACAATGCTGACTTCACACTAAAAGAATCACGGGTTATTATTTTAAAATAATGAGCTGTTGAAATCATTTGAAATGATCTTTTCCCATACCAAAGCTCCGCACCCTAAACAATATGTGTATCCATGCCTACCCACTATTCTACATCATAATGACTGACAATACAGCTTCCAAAGACCATGAATACAGCTTACAAAGAGCATGCAGGGCTCCCTTCTATTGCATTACAGGAGAACAGCTTTTTCCTGGTTTAGACTTTCTCAGCTATCATATTTTAGAGAAGATATTGGACACATAGAAGTCCTATTTTCCCAATATATGCCTGTCTGTTAGAAGTGCATTGACCCATAATATTAATGGGGCAGTGTGCTTTTCAAAGACAGAAAGAAAAGATTTCCTAAAATTGCCTTAAATGTTCTTCTTTAGAGTGGACCTTTCACTAACTTTACAGGTCTGCTTGAATACATTCCTGACATGGCACGATACACAGAAACAGTAACAAGATCTACTATGTGTCATTAAAGGCTAATTCCACCTTTAATTTGTTCCATGTTACACCCATATTTAGGATGCAACATGGAACATGGTGCCATTCTGAACCACTACCACCACCCCCCCCCCCCCCACTCTCCCCCACA